CAGCAGTAGCAAAAGCGGAAGGGAAGGACGGGAAGGTGGGGGCACAGGCGTGCTCATCAGCAGTAGCAAAAGCGGAAGAGAAGGACGAGAAGGTGGGGGCAGAAGCGGGTGTATCAGCAGCAACTGGAGCGGGGGAACGGGACAAGCAGGTGGGGGCAGAAGCGGGTGTATCAGCAGCAACTGGAGCGGAGGAACGGGACGAGCAGGTGGGGGCAGAAGCGGGTGTATCAGCAGCAACTGGAGCGGAGGAACGGGACGACCAGGTGGGTGCAGAAGCGGGTGTATTAGCAGCAACTGGAGCGGAGGAACGGGACGAGCAGGTGGGGGTAGAAGCGGGTGTATCAGCAGCAACTAGAGCGGAGGAACGGGACGAGCAGGTGGGAGGAAAAGCAGAGGCAGCCGCAGTCCCACAAGGAGCCTGGGCCCGCATGGAAGGGGAGAATCCAGAGTGGAAGGGGGGAGAGACAGTGAGCGAAGAAGGGAAGAAGGTGATGTTGGCAATGCTAGCAAAACACTGGAGGCGCTTTGCCACACAGGAGGGGCGTAAGGGCCCGGCAAAGCATTGGGAGCTAAAGCTGAGCAGCCGCAAACTGGTGTTACACGGGAGGAGGAAAAGGCCGCCGGAGGATAAGGAGATATGCAAGGATAAATTTAGGGAGCTGCTGACTACGCAGGTGGTGCTGAATGAGGTTAAGGGGAGTAGGAAATCAGCAAACATCTCGGAGAATGAGCGGGCCATGAAGTGGCTGATGGGGGAAACGGAAGAAGAAGAGGCAGTGACAGAGAGAGCGAGAGTGAGGGGGGGGGCACCACTGCAGGTGGTATCAACAGGAGCTGCAGATGCAGCCGGCTGAGAGATGGAGGGTGATACCCGCACCAGGCAAGAGGAAACCAGTAATCGAAGAAGTGCACACCAAGCAGGGGCAACTCGACCACGAGAGAATGGTGCAGCTGTTAAACAGGGAATGGTGGTGGGAGAGAATGCCCAGGCAAGTGAACGGGTGGGTGGAAAGTTGTGAAGCAGGGTAGTGGAGAGTAAAAGGGGTGCGTGAATCTGGGGTGCTGGTGCTGGATAATGAGAAAGAAGTACCGGTGAAGGCACATCAGAGCAACACGGCAGGAGTTAAAGGAACAAGGCCTCAGCAGCATGGTCCTGTGACCCGAGCTCAGGCAGCTCGAGCACGGGCACAGGAGGGGGCAGGTGGTGGCTGAGGCTGATCAACCATGTAAGGAGAAGGAAGGCAAGGGAGTGACAAAAGGAAGAGCAGGTTGCAAGGATGAGGTGGTTCTCCGACAGCTATCACCGAATATGCACTTCGTGCATATGCGATAACAGTTGGTGCGCGGGTGTAGATGCAAGTGTAGGTTCAGGTGTAGTCTTTGTATGATTATAATTTGTGGGTGAGTTGTTGGGGAGTATGGGGGGTTGAGGCGAAGTTGTTGGGAAGGGTTAGAGGAAACATCGAGGGGTGGGAATCTAACGAACCAATCTGAAGCAACTGGGCCTGGCTCGAGGCGCACATCGAGAAGTGTGCGACTGAGCCAGGTTCAGGTAAATTCAGTACCAAACACCCTCTCATTGCTTTTCTCCTGTTATTCTCTCATATTAGTGGAAAGCTATTACCTCAGATCTAGCATTCGGTGGCACGCCACTATGGGAGGACCTACGGGGTGAGGGAGGAAACTCTTTCATGAGTGGTAGCCGAGGCTGATCAACCACGTAAGGAGAAGGAAGGCAAGGGAGTGACAAGAGGAAGAGCAGGTTGCAAGGATGAGGTGGTTCTCCGACAAATGTCATACAGAATGTCACATTGTAGTGTCTCATGAAGTGATCTTCTCGTCACATCTTAGTTAACATGCCACATGGACGCCCCGCGTCCACGTGTATTCATGTATTTTGCCAGGTGTCATTGCTGGCGATTGGTCGAAATAGACCAATCAGATGTTAGCGAGCGGGGTGCGGAACTAGTATTTGATTGGCTGGCGATTTTGAACAGTACCCACCAGGCGACGCACCCGAAACACAGTGTCCCCATTTAGTACCCAAAATTTCAGCACAGCAAGAAGTAGATGAAACTTTGGAATGACTTCGTTAGTCACATGTGCATACATGGATGTACGAACTACAAATACCGCACAGTTGTGCGAACTAGAGATACAACACGTGTGCGATCAAGAGCTACTGCACGTGTGTACGAAATAAAGCCTGCACAACGTCCGAACAACGTCTAGCTACGAAAACCGTGGTTTGCCAAGCAAACATCAGACCGTATGGTCGTACGGAACATGCTGAAATCTGCACACATTAAAACCGAAACTTGTGAGAAAATATGAACGAGAATGAAATGAACTATGAATGAAGTGGGTACAAGTACTAACCCTAATTGGGTTGTACCCCCTATGGGATACCCCACTATAGCCTACACAAAAGCATAAGCTATAATGTTCTGACAACTTGAACCTGCACATAAGAAAAAAATATGGAACGTGACAGAACCTGGACGTCATAGCGACCTGTTTCATCAGAATTTCCAGTGATAATAACCGCGCTATGCAGCGACCGCTGCTTGTAAAACAAATATCATACCTCCAAGGCGGCCAAATGCACAAATCGGCCAACCGCAATATACCCTCATCAGCTCTAGTGGCACTTTTGCACACCGTGATCTGCACGACGCAAAAATAAACCTTGGATGAGCAAAAAAAAACTAGACATTACAGCTTGTCCGGAATATATAGTCAAAGGCTGGGGCAGTGAAACAGGAATAAGAACCACTGCACTTTGGACGCTTTTGCTCTCACTTGGAGATACACAAAATGACATGACATGCTCCTTGGTGATGTCCCATGCGAACTGCCACGTGCAGATGAATGGAAAAAATATCAGGAAGAGAGAGAACCAAGGCCACGGGTTGTCAGAACATTATAGCTTCCGCTTTTGTGTAGGCTATAGTGGGGTATCCCATAGGGGGTACAACCCAATTAGGGTTAGTACTTGTACCCAGTTCATTCATAGTTCATCCATTCTCGTTTCTTCTCATGGTTTCAGAGCAGGTTCCCTAGTGGGAACGCTACCTAGGGCCCACCACAATTTGTTTTTCCTGCCCGGAGCGCGCCTCAGACTAGACCGAGTCGCCCGCGCCCCGTGTGCCCGTCGACCCCACGCGCTGCCCTAGCGGCCCCTCCTTGCGCCACCCGTCGACCCCGCGCGCCGCCTTAGCGGCTCCTTGCGCCGAGCCGTCGACCCCGCGCACCGCCCTAGCGGCCCCCCCTGCGCCGCCCATCGACCCCGCACACCGCCCTAGCGGCCCCCTGCGCCGCCCGTCGACCCCGCGCGCCGCCCTAGCGGCCCCCTGCGCCGCCCGTCGACCCCGCGCGCCGCCCTAGTGGCGCCTTACGCCACCCGTTGACCCCGCGCGCCGTCCTTGCGGCCTCGCCGCCCTTACCTGCGGCCCCCACCGCCCTCACCTGCGGTCCCCGCCGCCCTTACCTGCGGCCCCACCGCCCTTCACCTGCGGTCCCCGCCGCCCTAAACTTCGGCCTCCCCGCCCTTACCTGCGGCCTCGCCGCCCTCACCTGCGGTCCCCGCCGCCCTTACCTGCGGCCCACCCGCCTTCCCTGCGGCCCTGTCACCTGCTGCAGCGCCGCCCGCCACCTGAGCCGCCCGGGCCGCCTCACCTCGCCGAGCAGCCGACCGCCGAGCCGCCCTATAGCAGCACGGCCGAGCCGCCCAACAGTTGAGCAGCCGAGCAGCCGAGCCGCCCAGCAGCCGAGCAGCCGAGCCGCCCAGCAACCGAGCAACCGAGCCGCCCTGCAGCCGAGCCGCCCAGCAACCGAGCCGCCCTGCAGCCGAGCCGCCGTGCAGCCGAGCCGCCCTACCTCCGAGCCGCCCGAGCAGCCCCGTCCAGTGAGCACAGTGCCTCTTTCACTGCACTGCCCTCACCCTACTGTTGCACTGCTAGTCTACTGTGGTCATGGCTACCCCTAGTGTCCTCGCTTTTGACACTGAGGGTCGAGCCATTGACTTTGACATCTGGGTAGATGACCTGCAGCTGTTTTTACAGTGCGATAGGGCAGACGGTCTCTCACTCTTTGACCTCACCTCTGGCGCCTCTCCTGCCCCTGCTGCTGATGCCGACGCCACTGTTCGCTCCCAGTGGGCCACGCGCGACGCTGCTGCACGTCTTGCTGTGCGTCGCCACCTCCCTACCTCCGAGCGCGCGCACTTTAGTCAGTACAAGAGTGCTCAGACCTTGTACGACGCTGTAGTTGCACGCTACTCCTCCCCTGCCACTGCTGCACTGAGCCGTCTCATGCTACCGTACCTCTTCCCTGACCTTGCTGCCTTTCCCACAGTCGGTGACCTCATTACGCACCTCTGCACTAGTGACACTCGCTACCGCGCTGCGCTTCCTGCTGACTTCTGCGCCAAGAACCCCCCCCCCATGTACATCACTCTCTACTACATAATCACTCGCCTCCCTGACTCCCTTCGCGTAGTCAGGGACCAATTCCTCTCAGTCTGTCCCACCACTCTCACTGTTGACCTCCTTGAGAAGTCCCTCCTAGCGGCCGAGAAGAGCATAGTCGCTGTAGGAGCCTCTCGTGGTGACCCGCGCACCCCCATCTTTGAGGGGTGTTCCCCCTCCTGTCAGTAGAGCTACACTGTGAGATCCCCGATCGATCCCAGGGGGGGTTACAGGCGCGTTTGCCTGGGGGGTTATGGGCGCACTGACCCGCTACTGAAATAAGCCCTTTTATCCCAATGGTCTAGTGGTTGGGATTCTGACATGGTATCAGAGTGGTCTCGGGTTCGAATCCCGGTGTATGCACATGTTGGCCGTTGCCACTGTGCTCAGTCCTGGGCCTCCCAGTGTGGGGGGGTGTCAGTAGAGCTACACTGTGAGATCCCCGATCGATCCTAGGGGGGGTTACAGGCGCGTTTGCCTGGGGGGTTATGGGCGCACTGACCCGCTACTGAAATAAGCCCTTTTATCCCAATGGCCTAGTGGTTGGGATTCTGACACCTCCCCCCTTCTACCCTCTGTTGCTTCTGCTGCTGCGGCCGACCTCCTTGGTCTTGAGTCGGTCGGTGTGGCGTCTGCCCCTAGCGGGAGACGCCGCTCTGGCTAGGGCAAGGGGAGTAGGGGCACTGGAGGCGCGAGCAGGGGCGGTGGAGGTGGAGGTGGAGGCGGCGGGCGGAGTGGGGTTGGCGGTGGGAGTGGAGGTGGGAGTGGAGGTGTCGGTGGCGGAAGTGGAGGCGGAGGCGGCGGCGGCGGTGGCGGTGGGAGCGGAGGTGGCGGAGGTGGCGGCAGAGGAGGAGGCGGCGGAGGCGGCGGTAGCAGCGGAGGCGGCGGGGGCGGCGGAGGCGGTGGGGGTGGCGGTGGAGCTGGTCGCGGGTCTACGCAGAGGAGTGGCTCCGGTGGTGGTCCGCGCCAGCAGCAGCAGCGCGGTCGTGAGACCCTTTCCCCTCAGCAGCTCCGTGAGTGGTACACTGCACGCCAGCGGGGTGGGGGTTTTGGTCCGTGCACCTACGTCCTGCGCACCGGCGACCGTGCGGGTGAGCAGTGTGGGGGTGCGCACCCCACCCAGCGCTACTTTGGCCGCCTGACGGACGCGTGGCGTCACCAGTTCCCTGAGGCCACAGAATTCCCTCGCTGGGGCGAGCTGTCTAGGGCGGGAGTTGCCATCTATGATCTTGAGTTTGATGCCATTCTTTCTGCCATGTATGCTGTGACTATTAGTGATGAGGGTGACTGTTACCGGTGTTTCCCGCCCGATCCGGGCATTGAGACTGCTGCTCTAGGTACTGGTGCGGGTGCTGCCCTAGGTGCTTGCGACGCTGCTGCTCTAGGTGCTAGTGCGCCAGAGTCCTGAGGTACTGGTGAGTCTGCGCTCTCAGGTACTACGTCGGCTTCGGCCTCCCTCACCTTCACCCTTGACTCTGGGGCTTCTCGCTCCTTCTTTCGGGACCACACCACACTCACGCCGCTTAGTCGGCCGGTTGCGGTGTCTCTGGCTGACCCCTCTGGGGGTCCTGTCCTGTCTCACTTCTCTACACTCCTCCCGTGTCCGGCGGCTCCCTCTGGCACCCTGTCTGGTCTCTACCTCCCCTCGTTCTCTACGAACTTGGTGAGTGGTGCTGACCTACAGGATGGGGGAGTACACGAGTAAATTCCTGCGCGTCAGCGAGTGACGCACTGCACAGACGCCCGCACTGGCCGACACTGGGCTACGTTTACACATCAGGCGGGGTCGAGCCTGTACACACTGACCACCGCGTCTCCTCCAGTTGCTGAGTCTGGTAGGGTAGCTACGTCGGGTCAGGTGTTTGCTGCAGCGTCCAGGTCTAATCCTGAGTCTGCCCCCTGTTCGTGTCGGCTCCTGTCTCACGAGACTCTCCTCTGGTACCACCGCCTAGGTCACCCCTCTCTGCTTCGGCTCAGAGGCATGGCCTCCCGTCTTCTTGTTTCTGGTCTCCCCAGGTCCCTCCCTCCCCTTCCTCAGGGGCCTGGCCCTTCCTGTGTCCCCTGTGTTGAGGGGCGCCAACGGGCTGCCTCTCACTCCTCCCAGTTTCCTCCGACAGAGGCCCCGCTGCAGACGCTTCACATGGACGTGTGGGGCCCAGCCCGCGTCCGTGGACAAGGTCACGAGCGCTACTTCCTGCTCGTTGTTGACGACTACTCGCGTTACACCGCAGTCTTCCCCTTGCGCAGAAAGGATGATGTTACTGAGGTGCTGATCGACTGGATCCGCGCAGCTCGTCTCCAGCTCAGGCAGAGCTTTGGCTCGGACTTTCCTGTTCTGCGTCTGCACTCGGACAGAGGCGGAGAGTTTTCCTCTGGCCTTCTGAGAGCCTACTTTCGCGCACGAGGCATCCGTCAGACCTTCACGCTTCCGGACTCTCCGCAGCAAAATGGGATCGCACAGCGCCGCATTGGCATGGTCATGGACGTCCCTCGTACGTCCATGATGCATGCGGATGCCCCCCATTTTCTGTGGCCGTTTGCGGTGAGGTACGCGGCGCATCAGATCAACCTCCACCCCAGGGTCTCCAGGCCGGAGACCTCCCCAGCCTTGCTGTGGACGGGGAAGGTTGGCGATGCGTCGGCGTTCCAGGTCTGGGGATCTCGGGCGTTTGTCTGCGACTTGTCTGCGGACAAGCTGTCCCCTCGTGCTGCTCCTTGCGTCTTCCTGGGGTTCCCCCCTGACGCGCCTGGGTGGCAGTTCTACCACCCCACCTCTCGCCGTGTTCTATCCTCCCAGGACGTCACGTTTGACGAGTCGGTCCCCTACTACCGCCTCTTCCCCTACCGCACTCCGTCCCTCCCCCTGCCCCCGCTCTTCCTTGTCCCAAGTCCCCACCCGGTAGACCCCCTCCCCGGGTGCTGAGCCTGGAGGTGCTGCGACTGGGGGTGCTGAGCCTGGGGGTGCTGAGCCTGGGGGTGCCACGACTGGGGGTGCTCAGCCTGGGGGTGCTGAGCCTGGGGGTACTGCGACTGGGGGTGCTGAGCCTGGGGGTGCTACGCCTGGGGGTGCTGAGCCTGGGGGTGCTGAGCCTGAGGGTGCTGAGCCTGGAGGTGCTACGCCTAGAGGTCCTCCGGGGGCTTCGTCTCGCCAGGAGCCACTCTCTCCACCGGAGCTGCGCGAGTGGTTTGCCCGGCTCTGGAGGCGTGCTGCTGGAGCTGGAGGTTCTTCGGCTGCTGAGGGTGCTGGTGCTGCGGGTCCGGGAGTGCTCGTACTGGGAGTACTGGAGCTGCTGGGCCTGCGGGTTCGACTGGATCTGGTGCTGCTGCGGGCGTTGGTGCTGAGCCTACTGCTTGTGGTCCAGCTGGGGGTACTACTGGTGCTGCTGGAGGTTCTGGAGCTGCTGGAGGTGCTGCTGGAGCGGGTGCTCCTGTTGGAGGTACTGGTGCTGTCCCTGCTGTGTCTGGCGTCGCCGCGCGGCCTCGACCGTACTTCGTTCCACTCCTGCAGCAGGTTCTTGGTCTTCTACCTTCTACAGTTACAGCCTGCCTCCCCACTACCTGCTCCCTCTCCCTACACTGGTCCTATTGGAGGTCTGGTTGAGCGTCGTGAGCCTGCGTCTCGTCCTGCGTCGCGTGTTCGTGCTGCTCGCACTAGTGGTCGCGGTTCGCGTCAGCGTCCTCCTCCTGTCCCTGGCACGCACCAGATGTCTCTTCGTCCGTCCACTGCTCCTCTTCGTGCCCCTTTGCCTTCTCCTCCTGCGTCCCCTCTTCCTAATCTTGCCGACCTGGAGTCGGACTCTCTTCGTGCTGCCAGTCATACTGTCACGCGTCTCCTTGCTACTGTCGTCACTGACCCTTCTTTCGAGTCCACTGCTGCGTCTGTCGACTTTGCTGCTCGCTGTCGTCTAGACTACGCTGCTAGTCTTGTCGCTGAGTCTGAGTCTGTCTGTCCTCCGTCCGTCGGGGGTGAGTGTGCCCTTGGCACGGACGTCCTTGAGGACACGCAGGAGGGGTTCTAGTGCTTGGCCACTGCTTCACCTCATCTCGTGTCCGTACTGCTTACCCCTCAGGGAGACCTGGATGCACTAGACATCCCGACTCCGCGCTCTTACGCGGAGGCGATAGAGGGTCCCTACTCTTCTCAGTGGCAGGCAGCTATGGATGCAGAGATGGCTTCCTGGAAGTCCACAGGCACCTACGTCAACGCTGTCCCCCCTCCTGGGGCGAACATCGTCAGTGGCATGTGGATTTTCATGGTGAAGCGGCCGCCGGGCTCTCCGCCTGTCTTCAAGGCACGGTACGTGGCTTGTGGTTTCAGTCAGCGGCAGGGAGTTGACTACTTTCATACCTTCTCTCCCACCCCGAAGATGACCACTCTTCGGATACTACTGCACGTTGCTGCTCACTGTGACTACGAGCTGCACTTTCTCGACTTCAGCACAACTTTCTTGCAGGGCAGCCTGCATGAGGAGATCTGGCTGCGCCGCCCACTTGGCTTCACTGGGTCGTTCCCTTCTGGTACCCAGTGGAGTCTCCGGCGTCCAGTCTACGGTCTCCGCCAGGCGCCCCGCGAGTGGCACGACACACTGAGGACTACACTTCCGGCTCTTGGGTTTGCTCCTTCTACTGCCGACCCTTCGCTGTTTCTGCGCACCGACACCTCTCTACCGCCTTTCTACATCCTCGTGTACGTCGACGACTTGGTCTTTGCCACTGCTGACACTGCTAGACTCGCCTACGTGAAGTCCGAGCTGCAGAAGAGACACACGTGCACAGACCTGGGTGAACTACGCAGCTACCTTGGCTTGCAGATCACCCGGGACAGAGCACGCCGCACCATTACCCTGACTCAGTCACACATGGTGCAGCAGGTCCTTCAGCGCTTCGGCTTCACGTACTCCTCGCCTCAGGCCACTCCTCTGCCTACTCGCCACTCACTCTCAGCTCTGCCTTCGGATGAGTCCGTAGAGTCGAGTGGCCCGTATCCAGAGCTTGTTGGCTGCCTCATGTACCTGATGACCTGCACACGACCTGACCTTGCATACCCTCTTAGCATTCTCGCACGCTATGTTGCTCCTGGGAGACACCGACCAGAGCACATGGCTGCAGCGAAGAGGGTGTTGCGCTACTTGTGCAGTACGTCGGGCATGGGGCTAGTGCTTGGAGGGCGCAGTCTAGTGGTCCTCACTGGGCACGCAGACGCTTCCTGGGCTGACGACCAGGCTACACAGCGGTCGTCACAGGGTTACACCTTCAGCCTTGGTTCCGGCTCTGTCTCGTGGCAGGCTACTCGCTCGTCTTCTGTTCTCAGCTCCAGTTGTGAGGCTGAGATCTACGCCGGGGCCATGGCTGTACAGGAGCTTCGCTGGCTCACCTACCTGTTGACCAACCTTTGAGAGCCGCCTCGTTCTCTTCCGGTTCTGTTCGTAGACAACAAGGCCATGCTGGCCTTGTGTCGAGAGCAGCGACTAGAGCACAGAACGAAGCACATTGCTCTCTGCTACTTCCTTGCTCGTGAGCTACAGCATCGTGGACAGTTGCGGCTTGTGTACGTGGCCTCTGAGGCCAACACTGCTGATGTTTTCACTAAGGCACTTGCGCCTTGTGATCATCAGCGCTTCTGCACTTAGCTGGGTCTTGTCCCTGTCTTGCCTCACTTGCTCACCTCTAGACCTTGCTTGTACTGTTACATATATATATACCTGCTCTTGCTTGTCTAGCTTTATATATATATGTACTCCTGCATGTGAACTGGCCTTGTGGCCTTGAACTTGTGCTCGGAATGTGTGGTGACTTTGTGATCCACCCTGAGCTTGCTTTGCTTTCCTTTGCTTGACTGGTCTTGTGACCCCTTGTTCTCCCCCACTTTGCCTATGGGGGTGTGTCAGAACATTATGGCTTCTGCTTTTGTGTAGGCTATAGTGGGGTATCCCATAGGGGGTACAACCCAATTAGGGTTAGTACTTGTACCCAGTTCATTCATAGTTCATCCATTCTCGTTTCTTCTCACGGGTTTCAATGGGGAAAACGTCGTGAGCGCCACCTGCCACATGTTAACTATCATAGAGAAGCAAATGGTAATGGCATTAGCAAGAACGACGCTAGGTCGACGGAGGCGTGGGAGTCATCTATGAAACTTGCATTTGCCTTTTTCGCGATGGATGTTGCGTGCGGATCGGATCAAGGCCATGGGAGACAAACGGAATTTGTTGGCTAGTGCATTATCATATCACAATAGAGCTTCACCGGCTGCCCGGAAGTTGACATCTCGTCGCTTTGTGTGCGGTAGCGCTGATGCTACCATAAACTACCATGGGGAATGGAGGTGGGAGGGGAGGGTAGGATCAATGTGGGGTGGATGCAGAATGAGATATATAAACCGAGTAGCTTCATCGTGGCAAAAAATACTACCACAAACGTCGAGAGTAGTATTTGAGATGCGCATGTACACAAGTCCCGGGGCGGGGTAGCATATATCTCTAAAAACCTTTGAGCGAGGTGGTAGATCTTCACGAGTATAGTGCTAATGGCGGTTGAAGTGCAGAGTTTGATAGAGAGGTATGACAGGAGGCGAATATAAGTCTGAGGTATGAACCATGAACAACAAAACTGAAATGCAAGGAACATTTGTATGGGGGAAGGGTTTCACGATGGCATAGGCACGGCTGGTTGGGATGGGCGGATATTGGAGGCGGTATTTGTGTTTATGAGCTGCAGCAATTGGTTGGAATGATTCGTGAGGCTCACCTCGATGGTTCAGAGAGTGGAAGATATGGGTAGGGTTGTGACGTGGAACGTCCAGAATTTTCTTCTAGCAATGTACACGGTTTGGAGTAGCTCTGATTGGGGGATTGCACTTCTCAATCTGACGTGTAGCTTTGATTGGTCTGCATACGTCACTGTTGAGTCCGGCGCGTAGCTTCTGGCTGTTCTTCATGGAATCAACAAAATTTATGTTTTTACAACATTCACGAAATTAGTTGCCCCGTCTATTGTTTTTCGCTAGTGGTCGGGTTGCTTCGCATGCTTCGTGGTCACTACCTAACCAGAGTCTAAACTGTGTTAGAGCTATACATTATAACCACAAAATTGGCCGCAATTGGTACAGTGGTCGTTTAACGAGTCACCAGTGTTGCGTATCGGAGTCTGAATGTTGTGAATTTGAACCGCGGCATCAGAAAGTTGGTCGAATCGCGCATTTCGTGCGCATGTGTCGCTAGATGTGACACAAATGTGACTTTTATGTACACCGCAAGGAGTCACAAAAAGGTTACAGAGGGTGCTGTTAGGTTTTTGGAGCTAGTTGGGACTTTTTGTGTACCTTTAGGGGGAAAAACCTACAGAGGGCCAAATTTGAGACCCAAACAATTTCGCGATGTATTGGTAAGGCTTTCAAACAAACTCTTGGGTTACAAAACATCGTATTTACTGCTGCGCTGGGAGCTAGAGAGATTTGCATGGGAAAATCGCAAAGAGTACGATTTTAGTAGTAGAACTAGGTACCGAAGATGTTCACTACTACATTTACTTCGGAAGGACGCTCCAGACACGTACCCGTAATCAGTGAGTTTGACGGACTTCGCGTATGTCGGCAGGGTCGACGTGGCGCAGGCTGCGGCTGGCTTAGTAACGGCCGCGATGCCCGAAGAGTGGTGTCGCGCGAATGCGCTGCTCGCCGTAGCGAGGAGCAAAAGGGCCAGCGATGCCGCTAGGAAAGAGAACCGGGAGGCCATGATGGAGTTGAGGTGAGATGACGGCGGAAGATGTGGCTGGTGATTTGAGTGCGTTGGTGGGTTGGATGAGAAATTCATACAACTCCCGTCGCCCTAGATTCCACATCAAGGCTTCGAAGCGCGAAGAATTTGAGCACAACCGTCGAGGTTTGTGCCGAACCATATTCTTCGCTCTAATCTCCCTAACCGCATCTCGCCCCGACCTCTTGCGAAATTTCCAAACCGAACGAAATATAAACCCAAACCGAACCGTAAAGGTGATGTTTCCTTACCGAGGCTGAGCCCGAGCCGAACAAGTGTAGGGCTCTTGTGCATCTGATGGTGTATCGAGATTAGCCCTCCGCGAAGTGCACACAGCTTTGATTGCAACATTGGTCCTTGGAAGATGAGGCTCGGATCCTGGTGGTGTATGGCGGCAGCGACTCGCAGGGAAGCATTGCGTGGAAGGTGATGTCATTACTTCGAGCTGACATGTAGGATTTCCATTTGTTACAAGTTCCCGAAAGGATAGGGAGTACGCAAACCACCTTCAAGTGCGTCTCATTCAACGAGTGTCAAGCTGTCAACGTGTACATTCGTTGACAAGACCAACCAATTCCCCGTGTCAAGTTGTGATATCCATGTTCGGGCCACAGAGTCTGCACATGTTCGGTGTGTGAAAGGTTTCCAACTCAGCAGTGTTATGAATGAACTTGCAGAGTGCGCAGAATATCGAATAACGAGAATGAACTGATTACTGAATGCCTGAATACACAAAGTGACGAGGCCTAAATAGGGGAAGTCCTAGCTAGGCGGAGAGGTTGGGCGATGATGGCTCGGTGATGGTTACGTTTGGAGCGGAGGCCGACTCGGGAGTGGTTCGGTGCGACGAAATAGGAAGGACATGTTCGTCGCGTGACCCTCGGGATGGCTTCGCTAAAGAGTGCCTCAGTAAGGATTTGTAAATCCTTACACTCTCCCACCTTCTAAATAAGGCAGTCCTGTACTGAAAACAGACCCCACACTAGCAAGGATGCCGTAGATCTCCCCTTCAGCTGAATCCGACGGCCGAAATGCCTTGGAGGAATGTAGGCCGTCGATGAAGTCAGATTTCGATCTGACGGTCGAAGATGAACTAGCCCAAAATGAACTGAAAGTTGGAATGTGGGCCGTAGATCGAGCAGATGCAGATCTGACGGTCAAAGACTGACGTAAAAAGAGAGGGAATCTGCTGACGCAAATTCAAACGCGAATGAGCAGGGACCGTCGATCGTGTCGGTGTGATCGCGATCGTCCGTCGTGCTGACGCAACCTGACAAAGTCAGAAAGGACCGAGAAAAACGCCAAGGAAAGAACAGTGCAGCGCACTTTCTCCCCCCCTCCAAGAAAGCTGTTCACAAAATCTTCAATGCTGTGCCGAAGTTTAACCCAACAGAACCAGGTGTTAAGTCACACTTAAAACGAGCGTTGGGCGTAGGGGACAAGGTGAAAACGTGTCAGTGTGGAAACTCGATGACAAAACCAGGTGTATGTGCCCCAAAATTCCTCAAGGGGAACCAGCGGAAGTAGACCAAAATCCGCGACGGAAAATCCACGTTGCTTGAAATGTCGAAATTTGTCGTGATTCCTCCAAGAATTTTGGTGGTACTTTCCGCAGCTGCAGCTGGCAGCACCTGACGTGGTTGGGAATTAATGCAGATGTCGTGGGCGGGTCGAAGGCGAGTTGTCAAATGCAGAATTGGAATGGAATTAACTAGAAGTTTGTCGTAATGCGCCGAGAGTTCGAGGGCAGGGATGAAATTTTACAGCTGTCGCTCCCCCCCGTCACTTTTGCTGCCGCCTTCTTCAGGTCGTTGTAAGTCGTTCGTACCCCTTGAAAACTCCGTGTAGTTCCCGCGGTGCTGCCCTGCGTAAATGTCGCGCGCGCTTAATCGAACGCCGAATGCTCCTCCGAGATTGTCGTCGCTCCTTGCCGTAAAACCTGTAAGTCCCACGTACAAACTCCGAAATTGTCGCTCGAATCAAACCCTGTAAGTCCGCAGTTGCAGTTGCAGTTCGCCTCCGAAAATCTCGGACGTGCCATACCCGCCCACTCGGTCACCATCTGTTTCCGTCGGTTACCCGACCCCAGCATGTGGGTTCAATCGAGAACCGGGGACTGCCATGGGTTATTCCGAGACCGAATTTCACGGAACCTAGTGGCATCAACGCCGTTGACTTCGTAGTCGAAAACTGCTTCCGCCGATGTTGCTTAACAAAACAACCTGTTGCTCCCACCGAGAAGTCCCCGAAGCCACGACTGCTCCCACGCTCCTATTTTTCTGAAGAATTTCCCGAGGTGTGCGTTTAAACACCAAGGGTCCTAGGCATCCTTGCCGCTGCATTTCTTGCCAGGCAGCTTCGAAAAGTGCCCTTCAGGTAAAGTCCCCCAACAACTCAACCGCACTCCAAGAAGCGAAGAAATACCCGCAGCTTCATAATTTTTTGTCGTTTCACCCCCCGACAATTCCGCTTCCCGCCGTTCACCCAGCGTCCGCTTTTTTCGGATGGGGTATAGTCGGTGTTGCCCGCGCGAACCCGTCTACGGTGGAGGGGCAAAAACTATCGGAGTCGGGGACCCTTATTTAAAAGGAATTGTCGCCCAAACGTTTTGCAGCCCACCGCAAACGTCGCGCCACTAAACT